AGTGAGTGTGAGAGTGTGAGAGTGTGTGTGTGTGAGAGTGTGAGTGTGTGTGAGTGAGAGTGTGTGTGTGAGTGAGTGAGTGTGTGTGTGTGTGAGAGTGTGTGTGTGTAAGTGAGTGTGTGAGTGTGTGAGAGTGTGTGTGTGTGTGTGTGTGTGTTTGAGTGAGTGAGTGAGTGTGTGTGTTTGAGTGTGTGTGTGTTAGGGGTGTGCGATATTATCGTATCGTAATTGTTGTTTTAACGCGGTGCGATTTGACATTATCGAGTATTTTACAAAAACCATTCAAAACATCCTCAGAGCACGCATGCATTACGTGAAGTCTAGACTAGTGCGTGTTCTTTCACTGCATGATTCAGGCTATTAAAATGCATTTAGAATAATCACAAATTCAAGACATGATGGCAGAAAATGTATATTTTTATGCCACTCCATATAGTTAATCAATTTCACACGAAGAGTGCTGTTTTTCTCCAAAAAGTACCATGATTACAAATGTGACATTGAATTCAATAAACAATAAGTTCATTAAGAGACTTACGTTTTAGACACCATATTGCTTGTTTTTGCTCTATTTCGCCAACAAAAATCATTCCGAATACAGCCACAGCACTGTTCTGCATCTCTGAGCAACATGACGTGTTTCGTTCCTGAATGAATCACTCGTTTAAATGATTCGGTTCAATCGCAGTGACTCACTTATTAACAGTGACGTGCTGCCACCTGCTGGCGGCTTTCATTTCACATTTCGTTTTTTTCTTTCATTTTTTTTTTTTCATGTTTTAAATCAATTCAAATATCAGTATTCAACGTTTTATGTTTAATATATCAAAACATTATTTATTTATGCATTTGTAACTGCAGGTTAAAAGCATTCGTGTCTTGCATTAAACAAAATACTTGTGTGTAAATACATCTAAATGCCACTTCAGGTGCAGCTTCTGTGTTGATTTCATTTGCTTGGTAACAGCTCAAATGTCTTATTATTCTAATTCCCTGATTGAATGTAAGAATTTGACTCAAAAGATTATGGACACTTTTAGAATTTTTTTTTTTAGAAAAATGCTTTATAAAGGTAAAAATGCCCATAAAATGTAGAAATAAGTTTAAACTTATTGGAAAAGATTCATTTCTATCAGTATGAACTGACCACCATGGATTTAATTTGCTTGCTTACAGCCCAAATGTCTTATTATTCTAATTGACTGATTAAATGTAAGAATTTGACTCAAAAGATGTTGGACACTTTTAGAAAAAATGGCTTTATAAAAGTAAAAATGCCCATAAAATACAAAAATCAGTTTAAACTTATTGGAAAAGATTAATTTCTATCAGTATGAACTGACCACCACACAGAATATGAAGAATATTACAAACATTAGGAGTCAGCTGTCTTCGGCAGTCCTTAAGATACCAGCACAATAACACACTCAGCAAAATATTGTCTAATTATCGTTATCGAAAATATTGAGAAATCATTTTTTGTCAATATAGCACACCCCTAGTGTGAGAGTGTGTGTGTGTGTGAGAGTTTGTGTGAGTGTGTGTTTGAGTGTGTGTGTGTGTGTGTGTGTGTGTGTGTGTGTGTGTGTGTGAGAGTGTGTAAATCATTTTTTGTCAATATAGCACACCCCTAGTGTGAGTTTGTGTGAGTGTGTGTTTGAGTGTGTGTGTGAGAGAGTGTGTGTGTGTGTGTGTGTGTGTGTGAGAGAGAGTGTGTGTGTGTGTGAGAGTGTGTTTGAGAGTATGAGTGAGTGAGGATGTGTGTGTGTGTGTGTGTGTGTATGTGTGAGAGTGTGTGTGTGTGTGTGTGTGTGTGTGTGTGTGTGTGTGTGTGTGTGTGTGTGTGTGTTGTGTGTGTGTGTGTGTGTATGTGTGAGAGTGTGTGTGTGTTTGAGAGTATGAGTGAGTGAGGGTGTGTGTGTGTGTGAGTTGCAGCACATCTCCAGTCTGTCACATGTAATCAGGAATGTGAAACGCTTCTCGGTTGTTTCTGTCAGTGGGATGCTGACGCTGATTTCTCTCCTGCAGGACGGACTGCGCAGGCTATCAGGAAACGAGTACATCTTAGCTACAAAACGTAAGCAGAGTTCACCGCTTTATGACCTTTGACCCCATTTCCTGTTCCACTATTCACACTGTTTGTGTTCCAGAGCTGCACCACATCCCAAGTCACCTGACCACACCACTGTCCCTCAACGATATCCCACCATGCATTGCTCAGACGATGGAAAATGAAGACTCATGGGACTTTGATATTTTCAACCTGGAGTCAGCCACCATGAAGCGGTGAGACACACACACACACACACACACACGACACACGCACTCACAAAACTCACGTTTGTGCTCACACACATATACAAACACACAGTACATCTCAACACAAACTCACACACACGCACTTAATTTCATAGCCTTCTAATATTTTTATATCAAGTTAATAATAATGACAACAGAAAAACACAAAACATACTAGAAAACCTGAACATTCTGTACTTTGTTTAGTGGTTTGTTTTGGTTGGTTGTGGTTTTTCCAGTTGAGTGTCTTATTTCACTCACTTTGATTGTAGTATACTCCCATCTAAACACACTCATGAAGTGTAGATTCTGTACAGGTGTGTGTGTAACGTAACGCTCCTCAAGCCTCTCTCTGTTTATTTCCAGGCCTTTAACGTATCTGGGTCTGAAGGTCTTCTCTCGGTTCGGTGTCTGTGAGTTCCTGAGCTGTCCGGAGGCGACGCTGCGCTCCTGGCTGCAGAGCATTGAGACCAATTATCACTCCAGCAACTCCTACCACAACTCCACACACGCCGCAGACGTGCTCCACGCCACCGCATACTTCCTGCGCAAGGAGCGCGTCAAGGTGAACACTCACACTCACACTCTCTCTCTCACTCACTCACTCACACACACACACACACACACTCACACTCTCTCTCACTCACACACACACACACACACACACACACTCTCTCATACACGCGCACACAGACACCACACACGCAGACACATGCAAACACACACACACGCTCACACACACACAGACACATGCAAACACACGACACACACACACGACACACGCAAACACTCACATACACACGACACACGCAAACACTCACATACACACACACTCTCTCTGACACACACACACT